TCTGCCTTTGGACAGGGCGGGGGCAGGCCTTGGCCCCGAGCCCATGCAGGTAATGAGATTTGCTGTTACTGTATTTACTTTTTGGTATCTTTAGTTTCTGGCCAAGGAGAGAGGGTGGAATCACTGGTGACCTCTCCTTCACAAAGACAGGTCCACATCCAACCCTCAGTGCCCAGAGCAGGGTCTTTGCCGACGTGATGAAGTGAAGGATCTCAAGACAGAGGGGTCCTAATGCAATGGCCGGCGTCCTTGTAAGGGAAAGGGAGCTTGGCACAGAGGCACAGAGGGATGGAGGCCACGGAAGACAGAGGCAGAGTGCGGAGCGGTGCAGCCACAAGCCAAGGAAAGTCAGGAGAGGCAGGGGACAGTCTCCCTGGAAGCCCAGAGGGAACTAGGAAACAGTCTATCTGGCCCCTGGAATTCAGACCTCTGGTCCCCAGAACCGAGGGAGAACAGCTTCCTGTTGTTCTCCACAGCAAACGCCTCAGTTTCCAGAGGGAAAGTGTCCCTTTGAGATGCCACCGATCCTTGGACAACACGGGTTCAAACTGCACGTCCAACTACATAAGGATTTTAGGGAATAAACACCGTAAATGCACAGGGTGGGGGGCCAAGGCAGGCTTACAGTGATGAGTAAGCGAAACATAGTTTATTCTTTTATTATTATTAATTACATCATTAATGTTTTCCATAGAACAACTGTAGACCTCCTTTTGCCCTATCCTGTATTTCCTCTTAAGATTTTCTTAATCACACTTCCCCTCTAGCTGATTTACTGTAAGCAGACAGTATGTAACATACACATACAAACGATGTGTTCGTCAACTGATTGCTATCGGCAGGCTTCCAGTCAACAGCAGGCTGTCTGTCGGCCACATTTATGGGGAGTGAAAGTGATACTCGGGTGTTCAACTCCCTGGGGGTCAGGGCACCCAGACCTACTGCTCTTCCAGGGTCCCCTGCACCCTGAATGTGTAAGGCGGTCAGGCGTCGAGGAAGTGACCCACCCGGGTGTGTAGGTGGCACATCCAACTGTCCGGAGGGAAGTCAGGCTGAGCTGGGGCGTGTGGCCAGAGGGGGGAATGGTGGAGGGCCTGGAGTGTGAAGGCCGCTCGGGTAGCAGAGCCTGTGGCAGGCTGGGAGGCCCCACACTGTCCCCGACCAGACACTTGAGCACATTTGCAGGAAAGCCCGAGTGTTCCCGGCCAGTGATTCAGATCCGCCTTTCTTTGGGGAAGAGCACTTGACAGGGAGGTTTTTTCCCACCGCCCTGAAGTGCGGGGAGGAGAGGGAAGGGGGTTCCCAGCAGATGGCCAGTGGGAAAGCCACCTGCCCTGTGCAGGACTCAGGGTCACTTGCAGGAGGGACGCTGCCCACCCTCCCCTGCCCCCCACCTCCAGGTGCCACCAGAGGATGCCTGGACAGGCGTGCTGGCCCCTCCTCCAGGACAGAACCCCAAACTCTTGACAGTCACTGGATGGGTCCCTGGGGAAGCCCTGGGCTGCTTCCAGCCGGAGGAGGGACAGGCATGCTCTGGACGCCCCTGAAGGGAAGCCGGCATTTCCCAAGAGCTGGAGGCAGAAGAGGAAAAGCCAGCGCTCGCCAAGCACATGTCCACACTGGGAAGGACCTTTCACCTGGATCCAGCTCGCTGCCCGGGTCTCACTGCCCGGGTCTGGGGAGCGCATGGTTCTGACACCAATCCCACCTCACCTCCTTCTTCCTGCAACAGCCCGGGCACACGCGGCCCCTCACCCCTGGGGCTGTCTCCTCACAGCTGCTGCCCCTGGCCCCTGGCCCGGGCTGCCTCCCACCTTCTCCACAGTACCCTTCTGGAAAACGTTTTCTACACTAAAGCCACCATGATGCAGGAGCGCCATGTCCCTGCCAGGCATGGCTGCCACCAGGACGGGCAAGGCTGCACCCAGCAGGCCTTGGTGCAGAGCAGAATCCAGCCCCAACCCAGGGACTCCAGCCCCTTTGAGGCCCTAAGCTGGGAGGGGAGGGGAGGGGAACCCCGCTGGGGGCAAGTGGGAGACTGAACCCCAGGGCACCCTCCCCCCCCCCCAAAGCAGCCTCTACCTCCCGGAGGCATTGCTCAGCCTGTGGTCCGAGGTGGGCAGTCAGGTGGCGCCCCGTTCACTTTGGACTCAATTCGGGGTGTACCTCAAGGCCCAGAAGGTCTGGCGTTTCTGGGCAAGGTTTCAGCTGCAGCGTCAGGAGTTGCCGTGAGAACCCATTTCCAGGAAGCTCCAGAGCTCACGCTGGAGCAGGTCCTGGCTCTGGAAGGAGCCCGCCTCGGCACGAACTTCCCGATGCCTGGCCCTGGGCTTCCCCCGCCCAGCAGCACGTGGAAGCCACACGGGGAGGCTGCCTGCACCTGCCTGGGGAGGTCGGCTGTTAGCGGCACCTTCCCACAGGTGCACCCCCTGAGGCTCGATGGCCCGCAGGTAAGGGTCACAGCGTGGACCAGGCTCACTACCCCGGCGGGGAACGGGGGTGGGGGGGGTGGGGGGGGAGGTGGTACTTTCTGGATGGAACCTGATGCACCTGCGTTTCCCCAGCTCCGGGCAGGAACGGCCCTGCCCCCCTTTTAGGAACTGGGGGACACCTGGCCAGAGTGGGGCTGCCCAGCCCTCTGACAGCTGTGACAGGCTGAGGGTCAGTCAGCAGAGAACCTGCCTTTTGCCTGCGTGGCCGCCCGGCCACAGACACGAAGCAGCAGCCACGTTCTGGTAGCTCTTTCGCGTTTATTGCCAAGTAACAATTTACAAGGAAGTTCCAGTTTTCATTTCCACCCTGGTGTGCGGTGCTCAAGAAGCATGAGTCACCCTGGTGAGCAGGTACTTCCCTGAAACGGTCCCTCAGCCCAGAAGCGTGAGGTTTCCTGACCCTGCTCCTCCTTGGGACAAACTTATTTACATATTTTCAGTTCGGAGGAACATTAGGAACCCTTACAGTTTATGCCCAGTGTCAACGTGACTGAAATATTTCTCAGTTATTGCATCTAGAAAAGATGAGGATCCGTTCGGCCCGTGCCTTAGATCTTGGAGATCGCTTGTGTCCGCGAAGGGTGCGTTTCTTCATTCGCCGTTGGACGCGGGGCGGGTGCTTGGGTGGGAGGGAAGCTGCCTCCTGCAGAGCACAGGGCAGGGCAGGCCTGGCGGAGGGGGCTGAGAGTGGAGGACTGTTGGGGCGGGAGGACCCTCTTGCCCGCCTCTCCCTGGGATGGGGCATCTGTCCCACCTTCTCACTGTGGCTCTGGGATGGTCCCCTGCTCCTCCCCTGCCGAGACCTTCTCCGTCAGTGCCGGAGTCCACGAAACCACCAGGAACCCCTGGATTCCGGACAGCAGGCGGTGGTCCCAGCTCCGCCTGGGAAGTCACTGGGTTTCAGTTCTACTGCCTGAGTCATTGGAAAACCAGAAGTGCACGGCTTGGGACGGGACGTTTCTATGCGCAAGCAGCTCACGCAGGACCCGTGGCTGGCTGCTGGAGAAGGCGCACCACCGGCCCTGCTCCCCGCGGACTGTCTTCTCCTCCCGTCCACCTGGCTCTGCGGGTGGCCATGGCTTGTCCCTCTTACCGGGGCCCCGAACTTCAGCCTAAATGAGTCCTTTCTTTGTTGAAGATTGGTGGGCACAGCTGCCCGGAGGGCTTCTGACTGGCACCACTCCCGTCCCCAGCAGAACTGTCTCCTCCAGACCCTGCTGTGGCGGCTGGATTGAAGGAGGCGGAGAGGACCCCATCCTCTAACAGGTGGGTGGTGAGCAGGCTGAGCATCTGGAGGCGGGGGGGGGGGGGTGGAGGGGGGGCCCCCCCGCAAACACCGGAAGGTAAGCTGCAGAAGGTCTCAGCACGCAGAGCGGGGAGGGTCGCTTAGCTGTGCCAAGCAGGAAGGAACTTTGGCTGCTTTACTGGATCGGGGAGAACTGGCCCTCGCACCCCTGGCCCAAAGGGCGGGTGTTCATTTTACAAACAAGCTGTGTCTTGGCAGTGGCAGCAGAGGAAGGGTGCACTGGGTCCAGCAGGCGATGTAGGTGCTGCTGCCACGCCTTTGCTTTCATCACAGCCCGTGGGGGCTTCGTTGTCCCCAGTGGTTCTTTCTTAGGCAGAGATGGGACAACTGAAGGGGATGCTGGGTAACTGTCCTGCTTGCTTTTGGGCCAGAGACCAGGAGCGGGTGCTGAGCCAGGAGCTGACTGCAGGTAACGTGAGGCCCCTGGGCTGCTGGCAGGGAAACCCCTCCCTCTCTGCTCCCTGTGTACCTGAGAATACACGTATCTCCCTTATTTTGTTTAAAAAAATACTCTAAACTTTCCCGGAAGGTACTTATCATCCCACAGGCCTGCAGAGTTAGTGAGTAATAAAGAAATAAGAATCACTTAAGAAAACGGAGAACGCCAGACTGAGAACTCTAAACCAAAACACTGGGAAGTTCAGGGGAAAACAAAAGTGAAAACTTAACAGTAATCTTACACTTTTTACATGACATTAAACCTTAGCACTGAGGATTTTTTTGGACTTTTCAACAAAATAGGTGCTTTTAAAATAAATGCTTTCCACCTGCTGCCAAAAGTGGAAATAAATACCCAAAGGAGATGTTTATCGAAGTTCACTTTTCTGCAAATTTCTACCTATGGTGACCTCGTCCGCTTCTTCTGTGCACACTGGGATGCACAGAGGAGCTGTGAGCTGCGCAGGGCCGGCTGATGGAGGGGTGGTGGTGGTGGGTCCTGCCACCCAGGTTGGGGGCGTGGAGACCAGGAACCCAGCCACTTCCTGAGGCGCCGCCTCAGCCCTCTGGGTCTGCTGGGGCGTCTCCATGGGTCCCAGCTGCTCTCGAAGTGGAAAGTGAAAGAGGAATTCAAATGGAGTCAAGGAGCACAGGGGGTGGTGGAGATGGTCACAGCGACGATGCTCCCAGTGTGTCTTTGGAGTCAGTGGCCTGGGTCCCCATCGGCGGAGCCACACCCACACAGGGAGGCTGTGCGGCTCAGACTAGTGCTCAGCGGAGCCTACTGGCTCCGGATGCGCAGTCTCCTCGCCTGGGGTCCCCGTGCCCTCGGCGCCTGGGGTCCCCGTGCCCTCGGCGGCGAGAGTGGGTGGCGGGGGGATGCCTGCCAGGGTATGGAGGCTGTCGGGGTCCACAGGCGGGACGAGGGTCAGCGACTCCACGCTCAGCGCGTCGGCCGTGTCCTCGCAGAGCAGGGAGATGGCGGGCTGCTGGGCCGGGGTGAGGCTGGGGGACAGGCTGACCGTCTCCACGTCCATACTCTTGGCCAGGCTCTTGCAGGACCTGGCATCTGCTTCCATTTCGTTGACGATCACCAACTGGTTGGGAAGGTTAGGCTGCGGCTGTTCCAGAGTCACGGCGTCATCTGGGTGGAGGGAAACATAGGGACATTTAGCTCCGAGACCTTCTGCTCTGCCGGCACCCTCTGCCCCCGTCCTGGACAAAGGCCCAGGGGGATCTGGGCGGGAGATGGTGGTGTGGAGGGAACAGCCTGCTCTGCTGCTCCTCCTGGGGGCACAGAAGCTGGTGAATCCAGTCTGACCCAGGCCCGGGGGAATCTGTAAGTGCCCAGGACTACCCTTACTAGTGATGCAAAGGAAAAGTGAGGGACTTGTGCAAAAACCAAGGGGTGGACGGTGGGAGCCCAGTTCCTGGATGCCCAGGGAATGGCCCGGGGGCTGTATGGATGCACCAGGCTTGGCCCACCTGCCTGATGATAAACACACGTGTAGGGAGGAAATGGACTTGGGGTGCTTATCACTGCATGCTATTTCCAGAGTCTAATTTGGTGACATTTACCAAAAAAGGAAACTCACTGCAATATTAAAAAAAAAAAAAAAAAAAAAGGGGTGGGGGACAGAGAAGGGAATTCTATAGAACATTTTAACTTGCAAAGCTGGGACTGCTGTCTCTTGTTCCTTCTTGAAGTGCTGAGTTAGCACTCACAAAGGGACTGTGATCGCCCGGGCCTTTCTGGTCCCCACAGAGAGAAACCAAGTCAGAAGGAAGGGGAGGTTCTGCCCATACAGTTATTTTCAGAGCGGCAATTTCTTTTCTGGGTGCTTTTCAAAACCCTGGCTTAGGTCACAGACAGATGGCCTCATTTGCTTTCCATGACAGACCTGCCTGGACAGACACGCCGGTTGTGACTGGAGGACATGGTGGAAAACATCTTCTAGGATGTCACATGCCCGTCATTGGAAAGCGTTGGTAAGAAGGCTGTGAGCATCTCGCTTGGAAAGCAAATTGCTATGTGTATGGACCGTGGGGTTGAGGAGCCATTGGCTGCAGGTGCTGGTGACAGTGTGTGGGCCATGAGTCTGGGCCCTGGGAATGGTGGTAGACATTCTTTTGTCCAATGCAATTCTAGTTTTTTGTGTTTTTTTTTTTCCTTATAAGTTAAGCCAAAACAAAAGAAAATTGCCAACACTGAGCAACAGAATGGAAAAACCAAGAGCAAAATAAAACCACAGGGCACACAGCATGGGTAAAGGAGAGAGAGGATGAGGAGCCCCATTGGGAGAGGAAGTACAAGCAACAGATTGAGCCCCCACAGCACACGGCAGGGTTTCTTCCCACGAGACTGAGCACTACAAGGTCCCAGTTAAATTTCTTTACAGCCCCCCCCCCCCTTTTTTTTAAAGCAAAATAAGGCCAGAGAAAACCACTGTGTGGGACTTTGGGCCTGTCCTCACTCCTGGAGGGTGGCACTGTGGGCATTAGTGGAAAAAGTGACTCGAGCAGCGGTGACCTGAGATAGAATGGTGAACACCCCACATGCATTCTGGTTTCTCTGAATTTCTGCGACTTCGCTTCATCCCGCTAAGAACGGAGGTGGTGATGGGCTGACCCGGCACGACCTGCCTGTCCCTCACCAGGACGTGTGGCTGAGAGGGGGCTCACCTGCCCCGTGGCCGCACCTGGGTTCACATGAGTGGGTGCGTGTCCGTGAGCCTCATGCACGTGGGTACACATGCAAGTCAAGGTGCTGACAGGACAGCTGAGAAACGACTAATTCTCCAAGTGGCACTTTTGTGCCATCTGGAGACCGAGCTGCAAAGCATTTCCTTCATTTTTCTCAAAACTTCTATGTCAGAGTTTCCTCTCTGTTCGTCCACATTTGCAGGCAGATATTCAAAAAAGCTGGCAATGCTCTCTCCTTGATCCCTAATGGGGTTTTTGGTGATGAGAAAAATCAAGGATTTGCGAAAGTTGCCATCAGATATGTTAGAAAACAAACAGACAAACAGCACCCTGTACATAACACTGGTCACTTCTTTAGGAAAAGAACTCACACTTTTATTAAAGAGATGGGTTTCCCCCATAAAAATAGCCTGCTTGTTTTGTTTTTAGTAAGATCTGAAACATGTCTTCGTTACATTATTAAATTATTCAGGGCCCACCTGACTAACCCAGAATAAACTCCTCCTCTCAGGATCCTTAACCACACTTTTTGCCCTCTATTTACAGGTTCCAGGGATTAGAACGTGGGTGTGTATTTGAGGGGCCACCATTCAATCTATATTGGGACTCTAAAAAGAGATTTTAGTTTTTTGGAGCTACAGTTCCTCATCAGTAAGATGAGGACAATGACCTTCATTGCCATGACTGTTTAACTGTATTTTCCATGTATAATAAAACATGTTTTCAGGGTCACATAAATTAGCCTTTTTTTTTTTTTCCAAATAAGAAAAAACCACCTCTTATCCTCACCCACAACATTGTCTTTTTTTTTTTTTTTTTTTTTTTTTTAACTTCATTGTTATTGTTAAACTAAGAACTGCTTCTTAATGTGACCTTCGCACTTATCCACTGGAAAGGGGACTTTGCAGGCTTCACCAGGGGAACACAGCCCAGCGAGGACACATTTTCTGGTCAAGTGCTGAGCTGCAGAGGTTACTGAGTTGGGGTTTATGACGTTTAAGGCCACAGGTTGGGGCCTGGCCCAGGAAGTGTGGGATCTGGAGGACATTCTGGCTTCCTGGCCGGCGGCAGGGGAGATGACTGGAGGCCAGAGTGGGAAATCCCGGATGTCCAGGCTTCCATGAGTGATGCTTGGCCTCTCCGTGGCTCTGCCCTTGCTGACCATCACGTCCCTGGCCGGCACCCCCTTGCCGAGTGTGTTACAGTTCCCAGTGAGAACGTGGGTTTGATGTGCTCGTCTGGAATAGGGGGCCCTGAGTGAGGTGGGGGAGAAAAGAGCAGCACAGCAAGCCAGAGGGCAAAGCTCAGAGGAAGCAGCTTTTAAACACAAAAGAAGGCAGGAGGCTCCTGACTGGCAGGCGCAGCTGCCAAGAGGGAGGGCGCATGTGGCAAACCCTGAGGAAGCACCGAGGGAGAAGGCACCCAGACCACCCTCGCTGCTATCCAGAGCGGAACTGTAAGAGGGGGATGATGGAGTTACAGCCATTGGTGTGTTTGTAACTTCCGGCCTTTGGCTAGAATGTGATGGAAACCATCACTTAGGTTTGAGCAAGACCAGGATAAAATGAAAAGGAAAAAAAAGCTGACTTACTGCTTGCTTATTGCAAAATCTACCACCAGCCCTGTGGCCTCAACTGGGGCTGCCCTGGGAAGGCGCGGGCCTGTGCCAAGCCTGGCCTGGCCTGTGTGGTGTTGCCTGGCAGGGCGGTGTTTCCAGGCTGCGGGGTCTGGTGCGGAAGGGGAAAGAGCCAGGGGATTTGATCCTCAGGTGAGATGAGGCCACAAAGAGAGGGGGCTCCAGGGAAGGTGAGGAAATGCCCACTCTGAAGGAGCTCCAGGTCCCTACTTGTTGTCCTGGGAGCCCAGGCTGGCTCGCTTGCCGAGCAGAGCCCGCTGACTGTGCAAATGTGGCGGTCGAGGGGCGTCGTGGGCCGCGGAGGCTAGCGGAGGAGACCTGCCTGCATGGACTGTGCCAGAGTTGCCGTGACAGCTGCCGTTCGAAGCACTAAACCCAGTGGCCGCCGTGACTGTCGGCCTCCGACAGGCTGAACACTCGTCGGCGTCCTTTCCTGCCACTCCTGACTAGAGGGAAACACAGCAACAGATCATTGAAAGCCTTTAACAACAGGACAGAAAGGTGACACGGAGAGGGGCGCAGAGCAGAGACGAACACTGAGCATCGATAAGTGTGCAAGGGGCGGGGCAGTGCCCAGGGGTGCTGTGACAGCTGGGGCGTGGGGCGCAGCCCCCCATGCAGGTAAGACAGCCCCACTCTGTCCCTCCAGGACGAGGTGGTGTCGGGGCTCAATCGGGGTAAGGACAGCAAAGGTTCGGTCCTGTTGGGATGGAGAGAGTGGGGCCATCGGCGTCATCTGGTCTTGGTGAGAGGCCAGGGGCCCGTCAGTTTCGATGCAAACCAGCAGGTAAGAGGTGACCCCTGCATCCGAGGGAGGCTCTGAGGAGGGAAGGCTGTGTGGTTGGAGGATCGGAGCCAAACCAGCTGGTGAAACAAGCAGATTTCTGGCCCATTGATGAGGCCGATGGCCCTCAGTGTCAGCACCCGAGAGCCGGTAGCCGCTCTGTGAGATCTGGAAAGGCCTCGGGGCAAGGCGCTCAGAGACATCCTCCCCGGCCATGGTGACCCTCTCCAGGCGACGCTCTAGTGACAAACCTTTGAAAACCAAAACTGAACCATGGCAGGAAGATCTGAGACCTGGTGCCAAGAGGCCAGAGGGTTGGTTCTAACCGGCTGAAACAAAAATGTTAGGAGCATCTCATTGGGAAGGAAGGAACCATCATTCGAGACAAACTTGGGATTACAGCAAAGCTTAAAATCAAGACCACAGAACACAAGGCGAAGGTACCTAATGGCACTAAAATATAAGCTTAAAATGGTACATTTTATGTTATTTATATCTTATCCCAATTTTTTAAAAAAATGTCGTGGAGAAAACTGGGGAGAAAAGACAATATCTTTGATTCAGGTTTCTGTCCTTAAAAGTTCTGCCTGACTGAGTTCAGTGACTTGCAGGTCAGTCTTGGGCTGTCTGGCTCTAAGTTGGTCCAAATGGGACTATGTCCTGGGGTGAAGGTCATATGTTTGTACAATCACCCTAGGGAGAGGTGAGGATGGGGAGGGAGGCCCAGCAGAGCAGTACCCTGCCCCTGTCAAGCTCCAGACAGGAACCAAATTATCTTTCTTTCTGTAAACCTGACGTTTCGGGAAACGTCATAGTGGCCACAACTCATAATTCTGTGGGCCTTAGGAATGGACATCAGAAGAGCAGGCTGACCCAGCCTGTGGGGCTCAGTCAGAGCTAAGGCCATAGACCTATGAATCAAGAGGTCATGGTTTGATTCCTGGTCAGGGCACATGCCTGGGTTTCCTGCTTAATCCCCCGTGGCAGGTGTGCAGGAGGCAGTTGATAGATAATTCTCTCT